TTATGACATGACCTCTGTTTGTTTCTTTCACGAAGTCCATCCTACCCATTGTACATTTCCTCATTGCACACTTTACGTTACTACGACAAAATATGGCCCAAATTAACAATCATCCTGCCATCAATTCTGTCAGCAACGCTTAGGTAATTTTGGTCCCTCACTGATTTAAAAGCATAATCCTTATAGTAAGACACTGTATTTAACGAGGATTTGCCAACATAACTTTTGACACCAACTGGTCAAACCTCACATAATTCATTGCTGTTGCCAACAAAAGGCTATGCACATAGTTCATCAACGTCATTTCTTGACAAAAACCTGGATAAAAAAGCAAGATGTAGAGATCAAACCCGAAGACAAGGCTGGAGACGAGCTAAAATATGAATATGACTTTTTTGAACCAAACTGGGGAAAATGGGAACTTCTATGGAAAATGTTTGATCGAATCTTTTGTGTGACAATAGCGCAGGTTTTTAGATTAGCATACATCGACTAACTCAATTTAAAAGCTCTAAAGAGGCATTGTGCCCCAGCTTGAAAAAACTAACCATTTCATCTAAACTATACTACCAACTATTACAGTCAATACTCGAATTTTTGGACTAATATACAACGGATCTCTAAGAAACAGTTACCTTGCTAGGAAAGCCTTTTTTGTTATTTGCTTCCACGATTACGCCGTTTTGATAAAGCAGCACGACTTTTAGGCATTTTTTAACAACAACAAAGGTATAACAAACGTCTAATATGCTGAAACGTGGCATCACGGCAAAGAGATACGCATAGTCATCTCGCATTACAGCGAATCATCCGCCGCAGTGGGCGTGACCACCGGGGGAAGCGGGTTTTTCTCAAAATTTACACCAAATAGCAATGATAGCTCGAAAACCATGTGAGCAAAAAAGTTGTTTTTTTGTCTGTACTGCCGTTTTTTCTAGGTCTTGAGTAAGTTTCTTTTTGAAAACTCAGTTTGCTTTTTCGGAAAAAACAAAGTTGTTTCGCAAAAAAAAATGTTAAGAAAAATAATAATATCTCAAGGCAATCTACTATAAATGTGGCTTGTCATACAATTTTAGAGCTACACTGTTATTCGTTCACAAACTACGATTGCAGAAAAATGGACATTTGCATTTTTGATGAAAAAAAATTGCTAATATTGCTTATCAATCATCTCTTTATACAGCATGAAGATATCAGACGAAAATAATTAAAAATACCCCTTCAAACAGGCTGTTGAATAAAAGGGACCTATGGCCTTAATCGGTAAGTTCCGACGAGTTCGAGAATACCACTCCTGGCCATTAACATCACAGTAATTTTTTATTTCAACACAAGATCTGCAAGCATACTCTAAAAAAAGCATTATTTTTAGCTTTTACAAAAAAGCCGTATCATCAGCATATCAAGAAATGGAAATATTTGGAAATTTTACAGTTAAATTATTTACAACGAATATAGACAATTTAGGACCCAAATTACTACCTTGGGGACTCCCGTACATGATTTCTTTGTATTCAGACATTTACATACCATTGTTTTTTATCAAAACTCTTCGATTCCGATTTGATAAATATGAGCACAGTCAATAATAAGTGCACCCTCTAACATCTTGACTATATAATTTACTTAATAAAGCACAACGTGAAAGTGTATTAACGGCTCTGATTGAGTCGAAAAAGTTGCAGCCAGTGAAATAAGAACTTTAAGGTTGAATTTTTTTTATTAAAATCCGCTACTTTGTTTTTATAAAATTGTAATACAAGCGGTGTCACACTGCTAAAACAAAGCCAACAACACCTCATATGTCAATATCCATCAAGACGTCGGGCCTGTAGACCGTTAAATAGATTTTTTTTTATACTTTCCAGCCCACGCGAACAACATATTTCTGTTCCTGCGGCAGTGAGGTTAAAACACATACAGAGTGTCACTCCAGTGGGTGATCTCTATATAATACTAAATTGACAGTCTGACACGAAGTGTATGGTCACGTCCTATTGGCTGGTTGATTAAGAAACATAGGGCTTAAGGGAGTTTTTTTTTAATAACCTACTTTCGTGTTTTTCCAACACAGGCGAAAAAACAATGATAACCCGCATCATGAATGGCGATTTCTTATTGTGTAATCGGTCGATTACGCTATTATAAAAGATATATTGAAAAGTTGTTTAAAAAAGTGTGGGCAAATATCATCTTAAGCGGCTTGATGGATTTTGACATATGGGATGTTTCTATAGATTTCTCTTGATAAATGAAATCTTCATTTTTTGAGACTGCTGCAGTCGGGTTGTTTATATTTTTTTTAGATGTACTTGTTTAATTTAGATTAGTACGAAAAACATCCTTATTGTCCATACGGGAAGATTTTTGCTTTATCTCATGAGTTATACGAGCCCCTTCCCACTTCAGTTGACCCACTTCAAGATTTGTACCAAAATATGCCGTTATAAACTAAACATGACGAAACTATTTACTTCTAAAATAATTTATTATCTCAAAAACATTTTAGATACACTCTAGTCGTAAAAAATACATATTTGAAATCACTTAGACCTATAACTAATAGAACATCTGAACAAATAAACAATGCGCGAAGTTAACAAAGCAACAATTGAAAGATTTCCATTGGGTAACATCACCTTAATTTTCTATTACGGCTGAAATTCTTTGGGGCATAGTGTTAACCAAGTTTTGGCAAAAAGTTGGTGTAAAACCATCCCATATTTCTTGAAGCTTTTGTCTCAGTTCGGTGATTGTAAGAGCAGGATGTTGTCGTAGAACCTTTTTCATCTCGTGGCACAAAGTTTCAATAGGTGACAGATCTGGACTGCTAGAAACCCATTTCAAAAGTGGTTCATTATTTTCTTCCATCCATTTTATAGCCTTTTTTGAGGTATGGCAAGCTGCACAATCTTGCTGAAACACAAAATCTTGGCCAGATGTCAAGCATTCTTCCATCACTGGTAAATGTGATTCTTCTAAAATTGCCAAATATTTGTTTGTATCCACATTTCCATCAATAAAATTAAGTATTCCTACTCCTTTTGATGACATACCGCCCAGACCATAATGGATGCTGGAAATTTCACTTTTCTCTTCAGACAGTCAACATGGAATGCTTCATTTTTTTTGCGAATAACTCTACTGCGACTGCCACCAACACAAACTTCGAATCGGGCCTCATCACTCCATTGTATTGCACACCATTGTTGAGGTGTCCATTGTCTATGTTCTTTAGCCCATCTGAGCCGATTTTTATTGTGCAGTTAAGTTAATAGTGGCTTTTCTTTGGCCTATAAACAAGTTGTGCAACTTTAGGGTTTTTACTTCACTTTTTTTATAAGAAAACTTACCTTGCAAGTACTAAATCCCAGTTTGTTGGCCTGTCTATGAGTTGTGGACCTCAAAATTCTCCTTCCAACAGCGTCACTCCACAGAGCACTTAACTGTAAATAATTGGCACGCCTGTTTTACACAATTATTCTTCTTAATGCTCTTCGGTCGGCATTTGTGATATTACTTTTTTTCACATATCGTGGCTTAATATTAACTGATCCAGTTACGTTATATATTCTAACAATATTTCTCACACTGTACCGCGATAAGTCTAACAAAGTTGCAATTTCTGAGATTGATTTCCCAGAATTTAATTATCAGTAACCGAAATTTCTCACTAATAACCTTTCCTCTAGCCATTTTGAAAACCTTAACTACCCAAAACTATTTTAAACGTATTCTGACAGCTGTGATTAATAAAAACAATTTTCATGGCTTTTATTGTTCACAGCCACCTATGCATTATAGACTTATTTTGCATTGAAATGAAAATAGGTTGGTATGCTGTAATTGCAACATGTGTTATTTTTATGCTGCAAATTTGATTAGGGAGTGATAAAGTTGGTGTTTTCTACTATATATTATCAAAATATTAATTGTTAATATTTTAAACCTATAAAACCCTGCTACATTGTGTTTGATAAGAAAAAAACTAAGATTTCAATAGTTGGGCCAACTGAAGTGGGAAGGGGCTCGTAGTATATAAAAAAAATTTCAATGTCAAAGAATAAAATTATTTAACCCTATTTCAGCAGTATCCATTACGTTTTGACGTATATTGCAGTGAACAGTTAATCAGCAAGTGACATCTTTGTATTAACCTGTAACGTTGGCAATAATGAATCGGGTGTTCGCATAGAAAAATGTCTATTAGAAAATTTTTATAGTACATCTGAGATTTATTGATTACGAGGCAAGTCAACAGAACAGACAGTGTTTTCTTTCCAGCAGCTTAAATTTTACATGTAACAATAATATAGACACGTGGTTCTGGTTAATTGTTCGTCATCAATGTAACGTAACTGAAATATGGCTGGTTCATTGCACTTTAAAATCATATGGGGTTTCAAGTTCTAAAAAGTAGAGATGATTAAAAAAGTAAAAAACTGTTTATCTCATTTCATTCCTACCTAACTTAAAATGTAATCATGGTGATGATTAGCAGCCATTTTGCTTGTAGCATTATTGTGTATGTAAAAGGACTTTTCTAAATAAAAGAGATTGTGGCAAGTACAAAATGAGTCCGTGGCGTACAAAAAGGATACAACAAAATACGGCTCTGTCAACCTAGCGTTGGCGGATCCGTCAGAATAGTGTGTCACTTGTTAATATGGGGAATTTTGAAAAATTACCAGATAATCTGCTGTTATTTTACCGTAATAGATACTCGCAAAAAAGAAAATTATATGTACATATACAAATATCCTATATTCCACGGCAGAAGCAAGGTCGCATTTTAAAGGCAGTACGTGGAAAACTAATCAAGTTACGCTAGAACTCGTAGTACTTTACAAGTTCAACGCAAAACTTTACGTTTACGTTTTCTGAAGTCGTGTTTTGCTACCTTTCGTTCATAAAAAAGTGAGATCTATCAGAATACCCTTTTTGAAGGTAAAGGATTGATACTGCGTCAAAGGTGTGACATCTTGATCCTTCTTTTCCAGGAACGTTTCATGGAACTGCAGGAAGCCGTGCGCTGGACAGAAATGCTGCGCGCCTCCAAGAGCGACACTCCGTTCGAGAAGCAGCACAACAAGAGCATCTGGCGGTTCTTCTCGAACCTGTTCAGCGGCGGGGGAAGCGCAGGTGCGGGAGGTGCGGATAGGATACACCGACCTGTGATGCCGGCGTCCTACCATCTGAGATACCAGCCTGGCACTGGCAGAGTGGCACCTGGTGTGAAGGCGTTGCCCAGGATAGCGGGACCCGGCGGAGAGGATATTGAGACTGGTACGGAATTGTGACAGCTGTTATGTTAGGATAAGTAGATATCGGCTAGAATTAGTTGAAATAATAATTATTGGCGGCAAAATTGTTTTTTTGGACTCTATTTTGGGAAATATCTTTTGGACTTTGAAACAAAACGAGTTGCTTAATTAAAAGGCCTTTCGAAACGAAATTAAAGTCACAATCAACATATCATTTCTAGGGATGTTGGGGATGCAGATCTTTCTGATATCCGCGGATGAGCAACAGTTTTTTGTTTTTGAAAAAGCTTCGTAATCGGTATTGTAATATCCATAGTAAATAATAAAATAATTCATAATTTACGGGTTTATAAAACTGTTCTAAAAGTGTTGCGAGTCGTCGCTATGCCGCCGGAATCCCCCCCCCCCCCAAAAAAAAACGAAAAACAGTGGCATAGTTGTCAGTGGTGGAGTAAAAATTGTTATTTCTAATCATCTTGATTCATATTTTATTATGAGTCAAAATGAGTCGAATATAATTATCTGACTCACCAAAAAAACAACAATTCTGTTACAAATTTTACGCCACTGCGGTGCTTGAGTACCGCTCGACTTCCGTTTGGAGCTGGTAAAACACTTACAAACCCCTGCTATAGTTGAAGTTAAAAATTGACAGGTTCATATTTTTAATATACATCAATCTCGCCGCCTTACACGTTCAATCCTGTTTAGTGTGGACTTTATGAATTGAAACCGCCTTACTGAACAACTGTTCACTGGGAAACATTGGATGGTGGTGGTAATAAAAATTTGCTTGCTTGCGATTGGTTGGCTATTTTCAAATGTTCTCGATAAATGCTTCGTGTTTGACCCTTTTTTACTCCTAAAGATAGCAACTTCTTTTTGAGTGGAGTAACAGTACTACCACTTCGCGACCAGCTCACATCGGCATCTGCATGAACATCTGCATTGATAAACTTGCCTAACAATGGAGCCTTCCTGAGAAAACTAAACATATAATTCATTTTTTTTTTCGTTTCCTTAACAATGGATCTAAATTGTAATAAGTATAAGTTTCAAAATTAGAGGCTTTCTTAGCCAATGTTCCGCCGAATGTCAATGTCTATTTAAACATTGATTAATGTATTTACCCGAAGATACCCAACCATGTTACTGTATTTCGCTGTCAAAAAAATTATCTGAGACGGAATATTACAGAAAAATAAATTACGATCAATGTGCCATGGATAGAACATCAGGCATGGAACCAATTTACTGTGCCTAAGCAGAGAACATCAACATTTGAACGCCCGTTCTCATATTTATCCTGGCATCATCTATGAGAGTTTGTTACAGCTATGTTTCTCCTCTCTGTAATTAGACATCTACTTTGAAAAGGTTAGTGTCCCATAGATGGCGCTGTAGCCAATTACTTTCCATCTAATTTTCAAAATAGATTTCTAATTACTGCTGAGAGAAGAAACATACATAGTTGTGACACATTCTCATAGATGACGCGTGGATATTTCATTTTATCTCGGATAAAGTTTTGTTTGTATTGTAGAAACAAAATGATAGTTGATAAAATAAGTGTTGTGGCACTATCATTAGGATTAGGGTCGATTCAAACTCACGGAAAAACTTGAATCCGCCCTTGCTCGCTTCATTGAGATGTATATAACTTTGTCTTTTACGGAAGGCACTTGAAATATATGTGGAAATTTGTTGAGCATCAATCTCAAATTTAAATTTGAATGGATACTCATATATAATTTGAGATGATATAGATATGAAGAATTTTATACTGGAAATTGAACTAGGATAGCAAATGTAATGAGTTCTGACGGTTAGAGAATGCAAGGCATACACGCTGCATTGAACTCTTCTGTATCAACATGCTCGTATTTTTGTCGAGTCTGAAATTTTAGGTTTTCTTCCATTCTGCCATGTGAAATTGTTTGTTACAGAATGGTACGAGGTTGATATCAAAAGTAAGGTTTCCTATTTTTTTAAAGCACATGAAACATTTATTCCCAATAATTGATAGATCATTATAAAGCTTAAAAATTAATGCTGTCGCAGTTTTTGCATGCATATGTCATACCAGCTCGTCGTCAGATCCTTGAGAAAGCGTTAAATCCTATCTTTCACCTCGTCGACGAAACTGTATCGCTTTGCCAGATATTCTTTAAACTCAGAGAACAAGTAGTCACTGAGTGCCAAGTCCGGACTATAGGGTTTGGCGATGAGTTTCCATTCAAACTATAGTAGAAGCGTGACCGTTTGACTGGCGGCGTGTGGGCGTGTGTTGTGTCGAATGCTTACACCCTTGCTTTAAATGCCTCGTTTTCGGTTCTCAATTGCCAGTTTGAATTTTGCTCACTGTTTCAAAGTACCTACTAACACCTGTTCCGCAAGTTGAAAAGGCATAACTGACCGGAAAGCAATTCACTTCCGACGATGAAATGAAATATAAAATTATGTGCTTCTTCAAGGTCATGACAGCGAGCGGGTATGACATCGACATACAAAAACTGCAAAAGCTTTTGCAAAAACTATATCGACTGGAATGGTGATTGTACAGAAGAATAGATCAACGTTTAAGCTTTAGGATGATGTATCAAACAAACATCAAACAAATGGTTTTGTACCTTTAAAAAATAGGAGACTTTACTTTTGAAATTAGCCTCAAAAGATTAGAAAGTAAGAGAAGTTAAGGCCAAAGATTATGGTACAATGCTAAATGCTGTCAATTACGGCTGTGATATAAACCTGGAGGTAAATATGTTATATAGATTGTGTCTATATGAGTGAAACTTACCCTATTGATCGCTCTTCATTGTTTGAAAATAGAGTCGGTATTCTGGCGATGGCTATCCTATTATCTATGTTGAAACTTTTGTAACCAAACCGCCTTCTATTGGTGAAGCTGTATGAAAAACGAAACATCCCTGATTATCCAAATTATGTATATGTGAAATACAAGTAACTTAGGGTTACATATCACATATTTATCGCCAAAAATTCGATAACCGGAGAAATTCCGTTGAGTAGGAACTTTGTTCAAAGTACTAGATATTTGAAACATGGAAAAGTATAACTAAAAAGATAATATATTTTTATCTGATGACATAGACGTACCTATTAGTAATTTGAAGACTGATAGTATATACTTTCTTGAAGGTACACTTATAATTCGTAGAAGGATGTACTACATACTGTTTCTTTTGTTACTTATTTTGATACATGCGTACAAATTCACTATTTTGGAAACAGTTTGATTAATTTTTGTTTATGTAAAGTCTGCCAAGGTGCGTTAAGATATTGAGTTATTTTTTGCTCATGTTTATTAATTGTTCTTAAAACAATAAGTTGCCCGTAGAGTAGGTTGTAATTTTAAAGTTTGAATATATCTTTAATCAACTTCTGCATCGTTAGAATGAATTATTGTTAATATTCCTTGCTGTAATGTTTGAAATTATCTTTCATTTTTCAAATATTGTGCGCATTGTTAGTTTTTGATAAATGTTTAGCTCTCCTGAGTACCTGGGAACATTCGGTGAGATATTTGAACACAAGAGTCTTAATTTAATTCAGAATGTCGTGTCATATTTCATACCAAAAATTAGTTTTAGTCCTAAATAATATTAAAGCGCAACTTCTACTTCAATGTAAATATTGCAAGACAATTTTGAAGAAATTGTGCCACGCCTAGCTCACTCTCTCCCTCATATTTATAGATTTGTTTAGTTTGTCCTTCCAATTTAACAGTTTGCAGAATACTGAAACTACATTGTCCTGCAATATTTTTTAGTTCTAGTTTACCAGTGACTTGAGTTAGAAGTTTTATTAAATCATTTGAGTTGTTTGGTAAGATTTATCCCGTATCATTTGATTATGTTTTGTTATTATGGAACATTAGGCTACTTGAAGAATAATCTCAGCATTTTATAAAGCTCTTTGTCAAAAACTCAATCAATCATTTCTTAAAAGTTCATTTGATCTGTTGAACCTTCTTTCTCTCAAAACCGAGTGTTCATTGCTCAGCTACTTACATGTTAAGACACAAAAAAATAGTAGTGATATATCTCGATTAAGTTTTTCTTCCTCAAACTGTGCTAATACAAATGTTTTTTTAATTTTTATATTATTCAGAAATACCATAATGACATAAGAACATTTTTACGGTGACAGTTTTAAAACAAGCCCACAATAAATATGAAAAAATCTGTCATCAGGTATTCAGGTACTTCTATTTACGAATTCATTTGAACCGTTATATCATTGAGGATTCTTTCAGATAACTTCGGAACTTTACAGTTTGAATATTATGATACCTGTATGTAAATCCCCATAACAGTTGGTTGATTCTGAAAAAATAACTTGTTTGCAGAAATTTGCTTTTCATAAGTTATCATAGTAGTAGTCAAACTTCGTCAAGTGTTTTATATGCTTGTAACCAACAAAGACCATTAATATTAAACATGTCCAAAATAATGAATCATATTCCAAAGTGAGCTTGTTAGAGCTAATTCTTTGATATGGTATGTCGGATTGTTTTAGGACTGTTCCTGATATCCCAGACAATTACTCTAATATTTTTACGTGTTCCGACACTAAACATAACTAGTCTTAAACTCTAATGTTACCCAAGCTGACGTGCTGACATTGTGAGTGTTGTGTTGAAAATATATATTTTATTTATTTACATCTTTTGTTTTATTATGTTAAACTAGTATTAAAATTTATTGCCTGTCAGAGAGAGAAAAAGCTGTTGTGCAAGAAAAAATGCGCAAAGAAAGTGCCGAATTATTGCCAGTAGTTACCAAATTGTAAGTAACGCCGAAGTAACTCCAATGATAAATGATTCAGCGTTTCTATTTTAGGTGTGGATAAACTGGCTGTGCGTAAAGCGATGGAACGCAGAGAGCAGTACAGACAGGTTAGAGCGCACGTGAGGAAGGAAGATGGAAGGCTGCAGGCGTATGGTTGGAGCTTACCAGGAAAGGTGAGTACTCGTATTGTAATCGAGAATCGATTTTCATGTTGTCATATACATTTTCAAAAAAAAGACCTCATTGTCAAGGCTTGACAGCTTTAAACTAGTCTAAAGTCGATATATCAATGAAAGACATTAAACCAAAACAATAATAAGCCGTGTTCAGTGCGTGATCAGCACGTAGATATATTTCAAGAAACGGGGAGCGTAACTGTTATTGGGCAAATCGGTCGAGCCCATACACAAGACCAATACCAAACCAGGAAGATAGAGTGGGAGACGACACAGAGGTGCATGCAGCCTTGCCAGCGTCAACTAGTGATTGCAATAATGTCAGACAAAAATTTTATCGTGCAATATAAAAATAAAATAATGTTTCTGAATCTAAAAGATTTATAGTCAATATTGATGCTACTTATGAATTAAAAAGTATTTATAAATATTTTATAAGTATTTTAAAGTAATTAAAGTAAGTTTGTATATATTTTGTGTTTAAAAAACTGACTTGTCCAAAGGAATTGAACGATGTAATATTAGCCCAGATAAATGGTTCTCACCTTGCAAAATGTACCTCCGTTAGGTTTTTGTTTTAGTCTGAAAGAGGACTATTGACTGAGCCTAAAACTACTTTTTTTATACAAATTAAACTTCTTGAGGTTATGCATCATCTCTATTCGTTTCATGACTATGCATCGGGTTCAAAGAATCATTCTAAATGGAAAACAAATTTGTGATAAAATATTTTGCTAGGATAGGTTAGGCGAATAGACCAAAGAGTCGCAGTCGAGGATCGTTATTGATGCACTCACAAGAAACCTAACCTAACCTAGGTTAGGCGTGTAAAGATACTTTTTCCTCTTTACAACTGCTAAACATTTATTCCTTCGCTCTAGTTTCCAACTAGCTTATGGAGATCTACATATGTGTAGAATTTGCATTTACTTTTCTCACAACTGTTCATATTGTAACATTTATCGTAAGGTGTTTTTATTTCTATTTACATAAGTCAAAACGCATAGATTCCACCATGGAGAGTGCAGTTGCATTCCACTACCAGTCCGACAATGTTTCCCTTTTTGTCCACGTCATGCGCGGTGATCGATTTAGTTCCCCACACTGTGCACTTCACTCCAGGCGAATACGATGTTCATAACATTCAGAGTAAAATCAAAAATCAAGAGAGGTTGAGTTTACTTAGCAGCAGAAACATACGAATATTTTTTACATGGAAACCTGTTAAAATAGTAGGAAAATAGGAAAACGTCCGAAAGTGGCGATGAATGTGTGGTCGTGCAATACGTCACATTTTACAGATGACAAATGAAAGTTGTGTGGCACATTTTTCTTTGAAAACGAATTATCCGTAACTGTTGGCTCCAATACCTCCATTTGGAGATTTGCATGTTTTTAAAGTGCTGCATTATATATTTTTTAATTTAGTATTTTTATCTTTAATATGACGTAAATGCTTTTTATATGTAATTATTGTTTTGAGAAAATTATGACCAACTATAGTGATTTTTGTGTGTTGCTTGTGTAGTGTGCCTCAACACCAGGGAAACCAAGTAGCAGTGGAAGTGGGGGAGTGCCAGTCCCAGTTCCTGTGTATTGTCGTCCTCTTGCGGAAACTACGCCTGAAATGAGAATTTGGTGTGCAGCTGGTGTCAATCTACAAGTAAGTGATCCGTATGATTTGAAGTTTATAAAGACACGGTAAGTACTTTATCCCACGCGAAAAATTCGATCCTGTTCTGTTTTAAACCTTTTCGGCCTTTTGATCTTCTTGGATGACCACCAATTCATTTTCAATTTACTTGGATCCTGATTGTTTTTTGACATTACTGCGATAATAACGGGTTGCCTATGATTTAACAAAGCAATGCAACGATAGCCAACAAAATATCTCAGCTGGTGAAAACATCAGATATAGTAACACACGTCTTATGGAAACTTGCGGCGTGGGACTTTATATTGGGCATAATAAAGGTAGTTCAAAAATAATACGATCATAATTTGTGCTCGCAAATTTCTTAACAGTATACCTTCCAGGATAACCGCCATAAATATATAGTATGTTACAAGGATGTGTGAGTGCAAATGATAAGACCAGCTTAGAGTTGCCTAGTGATCAATAGTGTTATCGATCCGAATGGTGTCTAATTTTGCGGGGGCTAGGGAGTCAAAGGCCGATTTTTTCATTTGGCAGGAATTATCAAGATAGAGTTGTCATTTATAGTATCGTTGGCTATATAATACTAGTGGTAACACACTGAGTAACATCTGAAGGGCTACATCTACTAGCATTAATTTAATATATCTATACTAAAAATGAGCGATAACATAATAACACGATAAATCCGTCCGTAAAGGGATAAGTCTTCTGGTAATACTCTCGATAACTCAGGAAATAGAGCTTAGATTTTGATGAAATCTTTATTAAAGGACGGAAAAGCGTAGTGGGTTTTGGAAACAGGTCTAGTGGCGATGTAGTAAAAAATAAACAATGTCCTCAAATTTAGTTTTTGTATTTTTATGAGCCTCTTATGATATTTATTTTAACTAAATTTCAGATTTTTCAGACCGTAGTCAAAAACCAAGGGGCTCAACATTTTAAATCTATTCAAGCTTAATTTTTGACCAGCAAATATTACTTAATACACTTAGAATTTTTGTGGACTTTAAATTCTTTTTCGAAATCCATCATTCTATTTGGCTACATTTTTCTATGAAGTACTGTCAAAGAGGCGGTATACGTATTACCATCAACTGCAGCTGCACTCACTGACAAAACGGCATTAAGAATAATATATATATAATGTGGCCGTCTCCTGATCGAAAAGCAATCTGGGTACTCATCCAGTCAATGGTCACGTTCATTTGTACTCAGCTGTTAATAATGGATCTAATGAATATAGTGGATTTTTCCTAAAATATCTCACAAACTAGCGAAAAAATATACGATTTGTGGAAGGTAGATCTCTAATCCTCACATTAAATCAAGAAATTCTTTATAAATCGGCGTTTAGCTACGAAAACATATCTTTTCACTTGATCCAGAGATCAAAACATATGATCCGGATCAAGAATGGCCAATCAGAAAGCGTTTTAGTAAAACTGGATCAAAAATTTCCGAATCATTGATCAAATCTGATATAATGCCTAGATTGATATGACATCAGTTACAGAGCACTTTATTGAAAAGAACAGTACTACTTAGCTGAGGGAGAAAAAAATCACATGTTTTTAAAAATGCATCATCTCGATTGTCGATTAAATTTCCGTCACGTAATGTGACAAATAGTACTGTTGGTGCCATCTGTTGGGCGAGTCTCCTACTCGGCAGAACTTCATGGCCGATCTCTGCTTTTACGCGAACCACGACCGCACAAACCGCTTGGCGGCGTCTGTCAGGACCGTGACAGTGGATCGCCTTCTAGATCGACGCGAAGTTACCTCCAATATTCTAGATGCTGCTTTGTGGTTCACCAGACCTTTCTTGAAGCAGCAATGGGGACTGTATATAACTCGGCGGCCGGGAGATGGAAGCAGAGTACTGAATACGGTAGAGTAGCAGAGCGGAGTGAAGTATAGTGCAGTCAATAGCGACATAAGAATTAGTCAGACATAAATAGTGGTGCACGTAAATGTTCTATCAAGTTAAATAAATTAGTGCATTTCTTTTTGTGGAATCCAGTATTTTAATCCACACCCAAAGGAACCCAAAAAAACGCTTCAGTAATTTGTAGATATGAACCACTGTTTGGCGCACACCTCTGTGTGTGTGCGAAATTTATGCAAAGTAGTGGCAATTCTCTTTTTAATCTTGATTAGTGTTTTAGTATGCATACAACGTATGCACGTTTCTTGGGAAAAAGAAAGAGCACCTAATTATTTTTAAAATCAGAACTGCCTTGTGCGTCTAAAATCGCGGTAGATCCACAAAATAAATGTTAATAGGTCAATTACACTCCATTGAATTGAAAAATAGTTATTAGGTTCAACTACTATAAGCTCTAACACAAAAAAGTACGGACATTGTTTAATTTTATCTAATAGTTTGTTTATTTTTGTAAGGTTAAAAATTATTTTAAAAAAAAACTGTTTTCAAGTAATATGATATTGAAATCTGAAATCAAACTAATATTGATAACAACGCCACATTTTGCTGACACATAAATGTTCGGACACGATATTAAAAAGAAAATAATTGCAGACCATGGAAACAAAAAAGTGTTTACAATTTGAAGTTTTGATTTAAGAATCAATTCTGAAAATCAATTTGCTTTAAAATCTCGTGTGGTAAAGCAACAAACGGTGCAATCAGAGTTTTAATCAAAAATTGTTTCATCAAGGAAAGAGTTTTCGGGATATTGCTAAACAAATAAGTATCGCAAAGTCTACAGTGGCAGATATTGTAAAAAGGTATGGAGACAGGTTCAACTCAAGTTTTAAGACAAGGTGTTGGTAGGCCAAGTAAGAGCGGTCCTAGACTGCAAAGATCTCTTGTTCGTATTTGTAATACTGGTCGTCGAGGTACTGTAAAGGACATAACAGAAACATGGAATGATGAAACAGCAGGAAATGTTTCACGAGAAACGTGCTGTCAGTGGCTTCATAAGTCTGGTTTACGTTTACGTAGGTTGCATTTTTAAGGGACATATGGCATATTTATTCAGTAGAATATTTGCTTTAGGCAAAAGAAAAGCCGTTCCTTACGAAAAACATAAAAAAGGCGATTAGCGTGGGCTAAGGAATGGGCAATGTGGAGTTACGAAGACTGGAAAAAATCACTTTTAGCGATGAATCGAAATTGTTTGTGTGGGTTGCAAGGGACAAAAATGAAGCCTGTCATAAAGACTGCCTAAAGAGGAAAGTAAAGTTTCCCTCAGGTTTAATGGTATGGGGAAGCATAGCTGCTTTTGGCGTTGGAAAACTTCACAGACGGAACTGTAAACGCAGCTAAATATCAAAATATCCTTGAAACCAATTTGCTAGTGTCAATTACAATTTTATCACCTGATAGAAACATTATTTTTCAAGAAGATGGGGCTAATGCCGTACGGACAAAACCACGAAAAAATGGTTGCAGGATAATATTTCAGTCCTTAACTGGCGTTCCAGTAGTCCTGATTTAAATATTATCGAAACTGTATGGGACAAAATGAAGCAGCAGTTAAGAAATGATCCACAACGAAACATTTCTGATTTACGAGTAAAATTACAAAATATATGGGATTCTTTTAATGCGGAAGACTGCGAAATCCGTGTTAAAACTATGCAAGCCAGAATTAATGCTGTCTGTTATCAAGGCAAAGGCAGATTAAGGGCCAATTTCACCAACATTAATATTTGACGGTCAGTTGGACCAATAGGAAAAGACCTTATCGACATGCAATTTGACGGAAGCTGTCAAAGGTCTCTGAATATCAGTGATTTCTATTGAAATATTGAATGAAATCGTGAAAATTCGACTGTATTATAAACAAGACCACTTTTTGATTCCAACATGATGCTTTTGTACAGAAAAAACAGGACAACTTTCATGTATTTTGATATATGTTATAGGTTTACATTTAACAATCCGTTATCCCCCTCAGCGAATGGGAATGCGGCAAATACTAGGTCGATTTTAAAGCAAATGAGAAACGTGAAGTTTTGCCTGATATTCCTAACAAGGTATATGTTAAGAATAAACAGAAGCAACATAAAACTAAAAGTAAGTATAAGCAAGAAAAATTTGTTAGTATAGATCAGAAATTAAAAAGAGCGGAGATAGATCCCACACATGCCAATACTTCCAAAAATATCCATTTATCCAATATTAAAAGGCCCAGGAAGAAAACTTATCAATTTAAATTTACTAATATTTCAGATACCTCATCTATTTCGGATGCGGAGCAGAAATAAGAAACATAACGAACAATTTAGGAATTTTGCCAGTAAATTTAGGCACAGCTAGGCTACAAAAGACAAAACATACTTTTGTGCACTATTATGATCTATCACCTTTATATAAGGAATATGAAGACTTGAATATTCAATACAGTAATCTTAAGATAGTATCTTATATAAGGAGCTTGATTCAAGAGAAAATCGAATACATTAAATCTCACTCTCAAAAGACTCGCAATAAGAGAGGACTTTTTAATGGCATAGGCTATGTAGTAAAAACAATAACAGGAAATTTAGACTCCGACGATGCAGAACGTATTGATAAAAGTTTATCTCATTTACAAGAAAATCAGCACCATATTCAACATCAGCTGAGAATGCAATATTCAGTAAACAATGAACTTGTCGCAAAATTTAACGGGACTATTCAAGATATACAGCACAATGAGATGACATTAAGAAATAACATTTTACAATTGAAACATATTTTATTGAACCAGACAACAAACCAGGATATTCTTTCAGCGAAGGACATTATCAATCAATTAATTATCCTCTATAATGGCTTATTGAACATTTTACAAGATATCGAAAATTCGATAACTTTTTGCAAATTGAAAACCATGCATCCCAGTATAATAAGGACTAGGGAATTATTTCAAGAACTCCGTAAGATATCTACATTTTATAAAAATGAATTACCATTTGAAGTAAAGTATGAAAATATGCTAGATTATGAATCTATTATTTCTATCAGTTGTAAAATCGATGAGAATCAAATAA